GAAGCCAAATATAAATTGCTTCGGAGTTGTGATAGTATGTTTGTGCATATATATACTCTGCGCACCGCCTTTAAACTCCAATAACTTTATGCTAAGCCTTCGTCTTATATAACGGACCTTGTCAGAGCAGAAAACCATGCTCTACGAAGTTTTTCATATCACAATATCTATCACATAAGATACAAAAGCTCATCAGGGATTCATCGGGGTTGCGGGATAGAGCATCCAGGACCTATTGTCACAAATATGCAGTCATAACTCCAAGAAAAATCCCCTCCGGTTTCCAGTTAAGCAAATTTGTGAATTTTATCTACTCACCTCTTCAAACGAAACGAAAGGCACGTCGGCCTCAGTAACGGACTCTGTTTTAAATCAGGTATTATGAAAGAGAAATTATTTCAGCTTTTACTCCTATATTTTTATTTCGAACATTTGTAACCTTTTGGAGCGGAATTGCGTAGTTTAGTAATGTGATCGTTGATTTCCATTTATCTTTACTTGCGTTCGTTTTCAAAATCCAAGACAGGCAAATTTGTTCTATTGCCTTACTTTTCACTGTGAGGACCGTCTCACCCTCTATCCTATTTCTGCAGTGCACTCCGGGTGATGTGATTGTACCAATCTGCTTGGCTCTCGGTCTGGGAATCGTTCATTCTCAAATAACCGCATCACACGCTGGCGCAGGACATACCGCATCCCTTTCGACTACGACGCCGAATACATTAATGGCCACCAGTAGCACGAACACAATGATATCAACGACCATGCCAGTGTCAACCGGTCGCCTCTTTTCATCGCCCTCTCTCGTGTCCACTATCACCGCGGCCGGATTTGGCTGCCAGAATGAGCTCAGGCCGCCAAAACACAACTTAGGCTCCCAGTTGCAAAGCCATTATCACAATCACTGCCAAGCACGCCAAGACTCTCAAAGGCATCTTCAATCGTTGTCGGATGTTTCCTATCTACATGAGCCTATTGCGAAAGACTCCATTAGCACAGGCACCAGTAGCCTTATCCCGCCTCTTCTAAGCTCACCTTCATTGGATATCCCAGTTTCAAATACCCTTCTCCCTATACTTGTTCCTTCTGACACCCCTGCTTCAACTTCCCCTCTCTCTGTGCATTTGCTGAAATGGCGCTGTTCTTTGACTCCGCCATTACGGACTTCGATCTCCAAGACAGATCGGCTTTTGACAAACGAGTCAGTGGAGGACTTACAAACCTCGCAGGTAGACAGTTGCAGGCAAATAAATAATATAAATGCAGACTTGGATGATCGAGAGGCTTTATGTTGTGCTAGAACAAAGTCCGATCGCATTATATGTTCCCGGAAGGCTGATTTGTTGAAAGCCAACCTTGATCAGACTCAATCTTCAACCACTTGGTGAGCTGGCTAGCAAATCTTTGCTAATTTACATTTAGGCATGTCTTTACACTTCTTTTAAAACGTGTTCTAAATTAGGGCATATTTAATCTATGAAATAGTCCTCTTAAGAATTATGATGTCAAATCTCGGAGATTCACATGTTATATTCAGGAAGTATAATTATTTACAAATGTATAAAGAAAATTTCAAAATTAACTATCTTGCATTTTTGCCAACTTGGTCCTTCGTATGTCCCTACTTCAATACTTCTAAACCTTTTAATTATTTTAATTAATTCTCAACCAAATATTTTCCTTTCAAATTAATAAACCATCTTATATTTGCCAACCTGTCCTAAATTCGGTTCTACACTCCTGATACTATCAATGACTGCCTACTTGATGCTTTAGAATTTAGCTATGCTAATGTGATTATTGTTCCTAACCTAAAAGATTTACCAGTTGTATTTTATTTCATTTAGTAAAGATGGCTCTTCAAAACAGTGCATCAATTTTATCACAAGATTGCATACACAACCTGAGATTTATTAACAAAAACATGGCTGATGCTAGCATATAATTATATCTGAGCCTTGCTGATAGAAAAATTAAACTAAAAATATACGAATAGTAACTGGGTTTCGTTTATTCTCCTGATATAACATTGTTGAGGAAACTTTCATTTAGTATAAAAGTGCATGAAAAAGAGATTCGAAGGTTGATCTCACCAGAAAAGGACGGCTGATCCCCAATGTACTACAGCCCTTTGGTTCTAATACGACGTACAGGCTGACCCACTCCACGAGACCTCCATCGTTTCGGTTGAAAACTGGCTGAACTTTCGTCCATCATATGATGTGCATCCTCAGAGCTGGAGCTCATTCTTGTAAACGTCTCACGTTAACACAAGGTTAAGAAGATTATCCGGCTCTATCTTACCTCTTATATAAACTGATAACCAAAAATGAAAAATGATTAGGCATAGATGGATATAAGCTGGTTTGGCTAATTATCTTTCATACTGGTCCTGCTGCCTTTGTTCGAGTGTGTGTGTGTGTGTGTGTGTATGTGTGTGTTAACATCTATACGAAATACTGGTCCTTAATCAGAGTGATCAAAAAAGGTTAATTCAGGCTCTGGTTATCAAGGCTTAATGACCCAAGAAAAAGCCCTGACCGAGACTGCGTAAGTACACAAGCAAGTATGATTGAGATTATTATGTGTGTATACCAAGTTATGAAACCACTTGTCTTAATCCCCCAGTTTAGGATCATTGACGCTTGACCACACAAGGAAAGGCCTGACAGGGTTTGTGTAATGTCGTACGTCTAGTTTGGTTGATGAGCTTAATCTAACATGTTTGGCGAGTGTGAGTGAAGTTAGAACCATCAATAAGTAGTCAAACTGAGTGTCCTTCTTTTGGATAGTGGTTAAACACCCTTTCTCCTTCGATCTATCAATTAAGCATAAGTAGTTTTTACTCATCTTTCTACTAGCGTTCCACACATTCAATGTATTATATTAATTTAAATAGTTTAATTGTAAGTATGAAGACCGAGATGGTGTGGCCTTTTGTATCGTCGCATCTTCTCTTAGCCTTATTTTAACAGCAGACGTACCATAATCAGCAAACATACTAGCTTGAGACCATTCTACCTCATGTCCAGTCTCTGTCATGTGTTCGGCCATTTCTGATCGTTGTACCAAGCTCCATTTACAACAATTTTTGTGTTCCCCTAGTCTTTGTAGAATGGGCCTGCCAACATTCGGCCGTCCACAGGAGCACACAATCTTGTAGCATTCGGATCTCGATAATGGATCATATTTCTATCTAAAAGATGGCATAGCAGAATAAAGTGTGAGGGTTTCTCTGAAAACTATTTTCATTCCTCACTTTCTCACTAGTTCGCCTATATTTTTCATAAAGAATACATGATGACAAAATTAGGACATGAGAAAAGGTCTTCTTTTGTTTATCACTGATCAAATAGTCTCTATCTGAAAAATAATTTCCCAGTCATTAGTACTTTAAAAAACAAGGCTCAATGGACAATTAATTTTCAGGAATAAATTTATCAGTCGTTATAATTCTTTATTCCTCTATCCTCTAGTCTCACATTTCTATAGCCATTGACTTCAAAATTTCAACCTTAGTTTTGTAACTTTGGCTGCAAAGAAAATTTAGAAGGCGTCAAAATACGTTGCCTTCCTTTAAACTTTTCTTAACTTACCCTTATATCTAATGGTCGTAACATCCAGTAAGGTTAAGGACTTATCCTCTTCTATTTCCATCTTGAACCTAACGTTCCTTTCACAGTTGCTAAGGCAAAGTAGGTAACTATCTAAACCTTCCTTAACTTGAGGCCTGATGGCAAAATAGTCATCCATATATCTAATCAACAATTTGTGAGTTATTATTGCCTATTCCAAACATTATTACCTAAGTTTGACCACATAGTTGTTCGCTAAGCTAAGCAAGAGATCATCGAAAGTCCTTGTGTCTGTTCATAAAATTTGCTATCAGTGGTAAAACAGCTGATACTCATGGAGAGGTTAAGCAATCTGAAGATGGAGGCTATGTTTAACCTTCTCTTATCTCTTGATGCTCTTCCGGAGTTTGTATTAGAGTCTGAATGGCTCCTTGAATAGGAATATTTGTGTATATAGACACAACATCAAAACTTACTAGCATATTCTCTTCTAAACGTATCTGTTGATTGGTCACTTTTTAAACTCATGAATTTTAACTGAATATAGCCAAAAATCGGCAGCATTTTGTAACTGTATGCGTAAAATCGTGATATTTTATGCATCACGCTTCCTCAATTATTTACAATAAATCTAAGAAGGACACGCTCTTTGTAAACTTTATGGAAACCGTAAGACTTTGGGGCTCTTGCATCTCTCTGGAATAGTGAATTTTTCTTCCACTTTTCCATTTTATTATTCCTAACGCATACCCTAGGGGCATTCTTCAGCCCAGTCTTTCCTTTGTTTTTCTTAGTATCATTTAAATGAAATTCTATTTTTCTGCATAACCTGACCTATCATTGACTATTGCCGCTGCACCTTTTTCTGCTTTAATAATAGGTTATTGCGATTTAGATATCCAGAAACTTTATTTAGCACACAAGATTGATTTGGCTTGATTATTTGGCTAAATGAGGACTCAATTTTAACTCAATACTATTCTTTATCTCTTCAGGTAATCCATCAGATAAGCTAATTATTTCAACAAGTATGTCCAGATAGTGGGTTACTTCATTTGGATGGGCAAAATTTAATCCTCTTTCCACACTGTCCTCCAAAGTTATACTGGAAAAGTTGATTACCTTATCCTTCCCCAATCTGATACAAACGTGATTATTACGACTTGCTTTTGGCCCAAAGGTTCTTGATCTAATTTTAATCTTTAAGTTATTAGGTTTCTTATCATGTATCCGCCTAGTCATTCTATCTCTGGCCTATCCTAACTTGTCAGCCATATCCTATAACTTAAGGAAATTTAAATCAGTACCTCAGAAAGGGATTGTCTAAGCCTGGTTTTTGTTTTAATTAGTTCGTGTATTCTATTATTGCTTAAGTTGAACCTTAAACTAGAGGCCCTAATACATATTAGCCATTTGAACATTTCATGCCTATGCTTATTAGAATGAGATTTTTAAGGGACCATTGTCTCAGAAGAATGTTCATGTTCTATGGGTCGGCTTGGCAAGCAAAGCAATAGGTTGAAGTAATTAAGCAAAACTATCACGATTTTATGTCTAATAGCTATTAGGCTATGAAACTAATAATGATCATGATTTCCACTTCTGTTACTATCGTTTCCTATACTCTTATCCACTCAATAGCGTTAAGTACTGCATGCCTAAATTGACTATACTCGTTTAAGGTCTAGTAATATTGGGTTTGTAATCTGTACCGAATATATTTTCAGGAAATATATAACTGGTGATACTAAGAATAACTCGGTTTCGCTTAATCTTTTAAGATAATATTGTCGGGGGAGACTCATTCCGTATGAGATTTCATGATGAAGAGCTTGGTTGGTTGATCTCACCAGAAGACTACGGCCGATTCTTGTTGTTATTCAGCCATTTGGCTTTAATACATCTTTAATGTTGACGCAGTCCACGAGACATCTTCTCTCGTCTCGGGTGAAACCGAGCTAAGCTTTCATCCATCATACGACGGACATCATCGGAGCTGGAACTCATTCTCGTAAGAGTCACAATTTAACAACAAGACTCGTCGGCTCAATCTTATGTCTTATGTTTATAAATAAAAAAGAAAACATATAGAGCTAGAAACTTGACACGAGATAGAATGGTTTTTAATGCATAGAATTGCTGATTATGGTACGTCTGATGCTAAATTGAAAATAAGAGAGGCTATCTAAATTAGTAGATTCAGGAATACGTTGAATGTGAAGAATGGCAGTAGGAAGTTTATTAAGGACTATTTATGCTTGATTGAAATATTGAATAATAGAAATGGTGTTAAGCCTCTATCCAATAGAAGGTGATTACCTGTCAGCACAGCGATAGTTCTGACCTCACACTCGCCCAACATGTACGATAAGCTCATCAACCAGATCAGACGTAGGTCAGTCATGCCTCTCCTTGGGCTGTTAAACCTTAATTACCCTAAACGGACGGTTTATGACGGGTGATTTAGAAACCTGATTTTCGTCTACAAGCTTACATTTCAATATCTCAACCAGAGTTTCTTACCGACTTGTGCAATGTCGAACAGGTTTTTTTTCTTGGATTATTTAACCTTGATGTCTCGAGCCTGACACTAGGCTTTTTAATCACTCTGATTTAGCACCTGTATTGCCTATAGGCGCTAACGCATAGATACATTCAAGTAAAAGTACATTGACTAATTTGGAAGGAAAATGGCCAAATCATTCTATATATCTTGATTTTTGTTGAGTATATATAAGACATAAAATACAGCCACACAGACTCCTTTATCTAGTGTTAACTTGAGACTATACGATAATTAGTTCTAACTATTG